TTTTTTTTTGTATTAATGTGCAATGTCACGCCAAAACTATCAAAGAGACAAGAAACTGAAAAAAATTATTCAGTTTATACAACGAAGATATAAACAGAGAGGGAGAGAACCGGTTACGCTACATTATTTACGCAATATTAATAGTTTGCATAGTCAACAATACTGAGAAGAATATACATGATTTGAATTTCAAGGTCTAATCGATATTTATTTCGTAGATAAACAAATTCATCTCCAATATTTCATACGTACCTAACAAACATAAAAGTACGAAAACGATTCGTAATATGAAGAGAAAAAAAACAGGCTGATATCATTACGATACACATGAAGAATCTTGCTATCATCAATAAATAGTTTCGAACATATTTATTTAATGAAGCTCTTAAATAACATTTGATCGATCATTAAGTAAAAAATGACAGCATTCATTGCTCGAGGCAATTGATTTTTATTGCACTGATAACAAAAAACTCTTCGGTAATAAGCAAACAACACAAAAAAGAACTTTATATTACATTATTCATGTGTAACAATTACATAATTCAAAGAATCAATCTTAATTAGTACTGAAATTTAAAAAGTAGCTCTTTTCATTTCATTCATTTGATTAAATATGTACACAGAATGACATGTTGTTTACTGACGTCGAATATATTTACTACCGAAATATTTCTTTTTATTGTTTTTGTTATCTTTGTGATCTATGAGTTATCGTATTTCAAAAACGATTTATAAGACTTAAGTATGTGTTGTATAAATCCTCTTTAAATTTGTTTATCATCCTTTGTAGATAAGCGATTAGTAGAAGAAAAAATACATCAAAATATTTAATCAGGAATCAAACCTTTATAAAAAGAAAAAAACCTGTTATAAATCTTTTAAGTATTCAATACTTTGTTATTTGCAAGTAATATTACATGAGTATGATACGTATACTACTATTTTGTGTTTTGTTTCAAACTGTTGTTAATGCTAAATCCGCTTGTGAACAAGTGTCCTTTGTCGATCGAGCTGGATGGGGTGCACGAGATCCAACATCAATAACTAATTTGACAACGAAACCTTTTTCTTTTTATGTTATTCATCATACTTATCAACCTCCAAAGTAGATTTATGTTTGAATATAAATTTTATTTATTTAATATGATTATTTCTAGTTGTTATGATGATATATCATGCATTGAACGTGTAAAATCGATTCAATATATGCATCAAAATACTAATGGATGGGCTGATGTTGGTTATCATTTTCTAGTTGGCGAAAATGGAAAAGTTTATGAAGGACGAGGATGGGATCGTCAAGGTGCACATGCACCAGGATGGAATAATGATGCATATGGTAATAATTTATATCGATTAATTCTATCACTGACTGTTTATTTTAAGGTATTTGTATTATTGGTGATTTCCAAGTAGCATCTCCAAATCAAAAAGCATTAGATGCAGTAAAATTATGGATTGATTGTGGTGTTGAAAAAGGTCATGTAAAAAAAGATTATTATATTATTACACATCGGCAATCACAACGGCCAGGTTATACCGTCTGGTAATTATTTTTCCTTCTCTTGTTTTTATAGGCATTTTTAAAGCTGAAAGTTATTTTATTTAGCCCAGGTAATGGTACAGTTGATGCAATAAAAACTTGGCCTCGATATTGTTCCTATCAAAATTCTGGAATGAATTTAACTCAGAATGAAACACAATTATCTATTGGTTCGGATTTTTGTCGAAAACAATTGGGATCATCGGCATTAGCTAACATGAATTACTTTTTTTCATATTCAATCTCGATATTTTTTCTATTTTTCCTTCATGTTCAATGTTTTATTCAATAAATATAATACAAACAAGAATGAGAATACATAAAACATATATATATATATATATTTCATTAATTATAACCATATATGAATTGAATTTGTATATGTATCAACAGATAATTTGAATTCTTGAAAAATCTGATGTCGTCGAAACCAATCATACATATCTTGTGTAAGAAAATTTTTCTTATCATTATCACCTTCTAAACCAATATGAAGATATTGAAGAGATTTCATATGACGTATAAATGATGGAATTGCATCACGAAAATCTTCAAAATGTGGTAAACAAGCGGAAAAAGATTTCAAGTTAGGAAAATTAAATTGTACTGATTGAATTATTTCATAAGATATAACACCATCATATAATAAATTAAAATGAAGAAGACGACGACTTAATAATGATAATAAACGTTCATTTTTTCGTTGAAATATTTGTTTGATTAATATACGATGATTACTAGTTATTGTTAATTTAGTCATATTTGGAAGACCTGAAAAAATTCATAATTAAAGGGGGTGGTCAAAAATCATCACTTTTTCCGCATGCTAGAAATCTCATAATATGAAAGTCCTTGTTACCTAGATCACGAATTTGATCTCTTTTTTTCAGCGATTCCCATGGAGGTGTACCTGAGTCTAGCACTGCGTAGTTTGATGGAATGTCCAACACAAAATACACAAAGTATTCAGAAATTTTTTTTTTGCCTCAGACTTCGTAGAGCTTGTTTAGCTGATCATTTTCGTATCAGGAAGTTTTGAATTCTATTGAGAAATAACGACGCTATTGTCAAAATAAAAAACATAGTCAATAGTTTAAAATTCTGTTTTTCTTTCTTATAAAATATAGGGGAAAGTTAGATCCCTAATCTCAAAACGATTATATTCTGAAGAAATATGACATAGTAGGTTTTATCGAGCACAATTTTCTGTATAAAACCTACTATGTCATATTTCTTGAGGATATAGTTAGTTCGAGATTTGAGGCTCGACTTTTCCTATATTTTATAAGAAAAATGGAATTTTAAGTTATTTTACTATGTTTTATATTCTGACGATAGCGTCGTCATTTCTCAATTGAATTCAAAACCTCCTGATACGAAAATGATCAGCGAAATCAACTCTACAAAGTCTGAGAGAAAAGAAAATTTTCTGAACACTCTATGTATTTATGTTTGAAACCCCATGGGACTACCCTACTGAGATTCAGGTACCCCCCCCCCCCCCTACGGAAAAACCGACAAAAAAGGGATCAGATTCGTGATCTAGGTAACAAGGACTTTTGTATTACGACATTTCTAGCGTGCGGAAAAAGTGATGATTTTTTGACTACCCTCTTTTTGTTTATACAGTACTCATGCGTAGTTAGATACACAGATGTATATTTTTTCGAATAAACTTACGTAAAACAAGTTCATATAATGTTGACATATTATGAAATTTTTCATTTAATGCTAAATGTTTAATATAACTAAGATTAATTATTTTGTTAATATATAATCCAAATAAAGCACTTGAAATACTTTGTTCAAATCGTACAGTTAATGTATCAATATTTGGAAAATAACGTAATGATTTATCTAATTCATATTTCATTTGTTTATTATTATAGACCGTTAAGAGTAAACGATTGACATATTGATAAGTATTTTCATTTATTGAAGAATATTTTGTATTTTTTAATGAATGAACTGTATCAATTGGATAACCCCATCTTACTTACTGATTAGAAAATCTTTTATCTGGATATGGACTAGAATAGAAAATCAGATGAACATCATTTTTATCTTGATAAAAATCAATCATAAATTGTATTTGACGTTCAGTCCAAAATGAATCATTTCTAAATGAAAATAATTGTGGGCAAAGTTCATCAAAATCAATCGGTGTTAAATGCCATAATTCACTATAAATATGAAATTTTCTTAATAATGGCCAATAATTACTAATAATCATTTGCCATTTGTCATTATTAACATAATCAAAACCTATACAAAATAAAATATTGGAATAATTTTATACTATGATTTATTTACAAACCTTCATCACAAACAATAGCAAATGAAAATATTTGAATATTTTCTAAAAAAGGAAATAATATTTGAAAATAATCGAATGGAATACTAAATGCACGTATTTTAAGATTTTTAATTAATACTGGATTTTGTATTAAATCAATTGATGATAAAACAGCATTACGTGACATTGAAAGTATATTTATTGATAGTTTTTCAAGTAAATAAAAATGATTAAGTATATTAATAAAACATAAATAATCACATGAATTAATATTTAATTTTTGTATAAATGAATATGAATTATTTAAAATAAAATCTTGTCGAAATTGACTTAAACAACAATGTTTTATTGTTGGTTTATTATAGAGAATTTGTTGGATAGTATTAATATCAAATGAATGCATTTGTTTTGATTGAATATTAAGCATATTTATATTAGATAAATCATTTATTATCAAATTAAATTCATTTGATGATGGTTCAATAAGATGTAAACATTTTAAATATGTAAAATCATATTTAAATGAATATTTTTCAAGAAAATTATTTATTTGATCAGGTGTTTGGTCATTGGATAATGTTAGTGAATGAATTATATTCGAATAAAATGAAATAACATTTGATACAGCAAAATTATACATAAATAATGGAATATGAGCAAGAGATATATTTATAATCGATGAACAATTATCTTCATCACGTCGAATTAAATACATATCAGTTAGAATTGAATGTATACGTGCATTATCCATATTATTAAACGCATAGAAAGCGTCCAAAGGTGATAAATAGGATAAAATAGTAAACCATAATTCACCTGGTAAATCTTCTAGTTTCATTTCTACAACAATAGTACACAAACATTTTAAAGAAAGATTATAACTTGAAAAGTGAACTTCATTTAGTATTATTTCTTTGAACTAACTTGCAACAATTATTTATATCTTTTTCTATTAAAACAGATTATACATGATAATTTATTACCGAATAATAAAGAAAAATGCTGAAACTCGAGATAATTGCAACTAAAACTTTAAAAACCACTAGACTTTTATTTAGTCCTTGATTTATTGATTATTTTTTATCGTTTCTCAAATCTATACTCGACACGTCAATAATTAATCGATATTTCATATTGATTGCATCTTATATGTACAAAAATCTTATTAATTATAAGATAAATCTTTCAAGAAAAATAAAACACAAAAACAAAATAATAAAAAATATATATTTATTTGTTTTACAGGATATATTAATGATTTAAATTTTTTACAATAAGTTCCAATTAAAGGATTAAAAAGAAAAGGACACTACACCAGTTCAAAATCATCATCATCAGAATCGAAAACCAGTACTAGAAAATAATAATAAAAATAAATACTTAAGAATACTTCTTTTTTTCTTATTTTACCTTCATGCTGATCTGTTGAATTTGACAGAGCATCAAATGGATTCGATTCACATATTTCAAACATTGGTCTTGAAGACGGATTCTAGAAAATAATATTTAGCTTTTTTTCTCTTTCAATTACAAATATCGATATTTACTTCTCTCAATTTCACAATTAAATCATCAAATTCACTTTCAGTTTTACAAGCAAATGCCTAAAATTCATCAGAAAAATAAAAAAAACTATTTAGAAATCAATATAACATTATTATCTTACTAAAGCAAGAGATGGATCAAGTCCAGTAAATTTCATTCGATTTATTCTATCACAATGATGAGATACATCATCTGAAGTAATACTAGTATCTACATATGCTTGTGTTACATGTGGATCAAGATATAGAAGTTCATCATTTTCTAGATAACCAATAAAATAATGTGCATGATTTGGCTTTCCACCAATAAATCCAAGTGTTTGTGGTAAACGAAAACATGACTAAACAAAAACAAATCATTTTAAAAATACAGAATTTCGATTTCTTACTTTTATTTGATCGATATATTCTATATTAACACCATTTAAACCTAATCTTAGCGGTATGATAATTACCAAAGGTTTCCAATTATTTTGTGAATCCGTAGATTTTTTAATTAAATTCGGAATTTGTGAATTTATTTTACATACTTTACCTAAAAGAGAAAAAACAAGTTAATGCGCTTTTGTTTAGATATAATAACTAACGTATATCGTCAAGTACAAGTGTATTATCCATTGCGACATGTACATGAATTTGTTTATCAAATTCATTGGAAGCAATTCGTCTGGATACGAAGAAAAAAACATAAAAGGAATTTTTTTTATTAAACGAAACTACCGAAGTACTTGAGCAATTGTATTTGGACCAAACCATTGTCCGATATTTTTTCCTTCAGAATTTCCCATTAGAACTATAATGAATAGGTAAGAAGAAAAAAAAACACATAATATTAACTAATTTATTCACTAACATTACAAACCGATTTGATGAATAGAATAAGATGAATGACGTTTGTCAGTAAACATATTTAAAATTTCCCAATATGTTGAATCAGTTATATTTTGTCGCCATCGAAAATCTATTGAGTAAATTATTGATAAATTTTGTTAATCAAATTTTTTATCTTACATACATCTTCCAGCTGGTAGAAAAAATCGAAGATAAGCTTCTGCTAACATCATTTGACCACAACGCATCATACAACCCCAACCTGTATCTTTTGTTGGACCCGATGGACTACCTAGAGATTAAAATTGATATTCAAAATTCTTTTCTATAAATATTTTTATTTTACCAATTGGAGCAAATCCATATCGATATGTAAACCAGAATCTACTTGTAACATCATCACTAATTGCATAGATGTCTAACAAAAAAACAAAATTTATATTAAATCAATTCAAATTTCAATTAGTTTTTACCATTTGGAGTTTTGTATTTAATACCAAGAATATATAATTCACTATCTGTATCCGATAGATTATTATTATCAGCACCATTATTGACAAATATAGAAGCAGCTAAACTAACAGCTATAAAAGAGAATTCATTTATTTTTTTGTTTTTTTCAATAATCTTTCTAACCCGCATTATTCATAGTTTGTAACAGTTTGTATCGATAAACATGAAATTTAAAGTAAAAATAACACTCTCGTATGAGAGTAAATACCCAAAAATGAAGACGAAATTTATAACAAATAACAATGAATATAAACAATAGAACAAAGACTAAGAGCATATCAATATCGTTATAATCATTCGATATTTAAATAATTATTCAGATTGGTATATTTTATTAATCAGTTAAATAAGTAGATATCTTATAACAAAAAAAAAAATCTTAAAAATAAAAAACAAAACGTCATGGAATAGAAAATCATTTCAAATGATATGATAATAGATAAAAACAAGACAACATTCTGATAATAGTCATAGAGGGCAGTACTAGTCAAACTAAAATATATAAAAAAATAAAATTACTTGAATATACTTCTTAGTTATTAATATATATGCTGATCTTAAATATAGAAGAATATGACTTTTAGAATTTTTTTTATTGTCTATTTGACTTTAAGTGTTAATGCTTTAAGCATGTTTCTCCGTGACATTCCTTTGCAACCGGTGGTGGAACATCTAATGCTGGACTACCAGCAAAAAATCCATAAGGTTTCAAACGAAATCCACATGTTTCGAT